AGGTAGGAGGCCTGAAACCTCCTCTGCGATATGCAGAGAAGGATGTGCAGAAGCCGTATGTGATGTTATGGGGCCGGTGCTCTGATGTGTAACCCTTTTAGGCCCTGGGAAGTCACAGCCTCTTATCTCGAGGCTGACCCCAGCCAATAGCGCGGTGCGTGGCTCTCCCTCCTGCACCGGCTCACACGTTTATCTGGGAGCTAGGGGGGCGGGGCAACTCTGCCCTGTCCACACGGCTTCAGAGATTACCATCCGCACCTGGCTGGACCGAGGTGCATTGATTAAAGAGGATCGAGGGGTAAGGAAAAGTCCTAGCCCGCTCTGTACACACCAATACGTGGAAACTGGGCCAGGCTCAGGCAAAATGGAGACAATGCTCTTCTTTCAAGGAGTTGCCCAGGTGGTCCTCCACAGAGCAATGTGTGCGTGAAGCTGCTTGTGTGTGAAGATATGTGCGTGGGGTGTTCATGTGTCCAGGTGCACACGTGTGCACGGGTGTATGCGGAGTAGTGGGTGTGGGTGTGAGCAGGCGTGTGCCCTTGAGACCATGTGTAAATGCACAAGGGGGATGTGTGCAAGGTTTGAGTGCATGAGAACCTGTGTGCTTCCGGTTGTGTGTGCAAATGCACAAGGGTGTATGTGAGGGTGAAAGGTGCGTGTGAAAGGGCAAGGGTGTCGTGTGCCCCGTGTGAGGGTGCTGCGTGTGTGCAGAGCCACCTCCCGGGACACCGGGAACCGCGGCGGCTTTGCACGCGCACAGGGAGAGTGGGGGTCTCAGCTTCTGTCGGGAATTAATCTTTTATGAGTCCATGTATGCAGTACAGAATCACTCCAGTCCTTGCGAGGACCTGGCACACGGACAGAACACATCTTCCTTCTTGCTTTATCCCCTCCCTTCCCTTCCCTCTCTCGATCCTCTTCCCATGTGATCTGATAGGTTTGTTTTTTTTGGTACAGGGAATCGAACTCAGAACCTTGTGCCTGCCCAGGCAGGCACTTATGCCACTGAGCTACATCCCCGCCTTTTTTCCCCCTTCCCATTTGAGAAAGGTCTGTCTCCTTACTTCCTCTTACCTATCTTTTATTTTGCTCTTTGCTTATAATTTGGGTTCTTTCTCTCACCCCACCCCTTTTGTCTTTTTGAGAGAGGGTTTTGTTACGCAGCCCAGGCTGACCTCAAACTCGCTGCAGTCTTTCTGCCTCAGCCTCCCGAGTGCTGGGATTACAGGCGTGCACCACCCCGCCAGACCTGGGTTTCTCATGTAAGAGAAATCACCCAGTATTTAAGCTTCTGTGTCTGATTTATTTCACTTAACATTAAGAGTCTCAAGGTGGATCCACTTCTTACAAATGATTCAAGTTTATCCTCTTTTTGTATAAATGCATTTTTTATTTTTTGGTACCGGGAATCAAACATAGGACCTTGCACTTGCCAGACAGGTGCTTGTGCCGCTGAGCTATATCCCCGGACCGTAAATGCATTTTTTAATCTGTTCACTGACATTTAGGCTGCTCACAAGATTCAGCTATTATGAGTCGCGCTGCTACAAACGTGGGTGCTGAACTGTGTCCTCCAGATGCACACACTCAAACCCCTGCCCCTCAGAATGTGGCTGGCTCTGAGACAGGTCTTTAAAGAGGAAATTAAAGCCAGATGTGGTGACTCGCACCTGGAAGCTCAGTACCCAGGAGGCTGAGGCAGGAGGATCGATACAGCCAGCCTGAGCTATACAACGAAACCCTGTCTCAAAAAAAAAAAAAAAACTAGATAGAGATGAGGATAAAATGGGGTGTTTGGCATGAACCCTGAGCCAACATGGAAGGACTGGAACTAGGCCTCAGTCACCTGGGGTCCTGCCCAGGGCTACAGCGAAAGGCTTCAAGGGGCTACAGCGAATTCTCTCGGAGTTCGGGATGCTGACGTCCAAGGTCAAGGTTACCTTCCTGACGCTGCTGACTGTTGGTCACCCCAGGGTCCGTCAGCCTGTGCCCGCATCAGTCCTGACTCTGCCCCCACTGTCCCACGCCCTAACTGTGTGCCCCTCTGCCTTCTCCTTTCCTGTCTCGAAGGGGACACTCGTGCCTGGCTTTCAGGGCCTCCCTGATACAGGACGATCACCTCGACTCCATCACAAAGACCCAGCTTCCAAACGCGCTCACAGCCCGAGTTCTAGGTGGATGCGTCTCCGGGGAGCCGTCCGAGCCCCCTCCACGCACCCCTAGATGTTAGCTCTTCCCTATGCCGGTGACCATGGAGACCTTTGAGGGCTGGGGCTCAGGGATAATCACCCGGGAGCCCTGGTCCCGGTCCAGAAGCAGGAAAAGGTGGTCCCGTGGGGGGCAGGGGAGGTGGGGAGACCCAAGGTAGGTTTGGGCAACACTCTTGAAAAACAGGAGGAGGGTGAGTCTTGTCCCCCACCCCACAGCCAGCGCCGTTCCACGCTGTCACTCGCAGCCCCAGGCCCCAGGGTTTCCAGGCGAGTGGTTCCCGGACCTCTGACTGTCCCACCCACCTCTGTGGCCCCGGCGCGGACTGCAGACCCACGGGACGCTGGGGCAGAGCCCTGTCTCTTGCTGAATGGAGAAGGTACACGGGACAACCAACTGCTACTATGCCTCAGGCCAGTCTCCTGGGCCACCCACACACAGGACCCCCACCTGACAACACGGACACGGGCCTTGTTTCAAATTGCAACACCTCGCATTTGTTTAGCATTTACTGCACGCCCAGCACCGCACCCTGAATTCACCCGGTCATCTCATCCTAAGTAGGTCACACGGATCCAGATGATGGAACTGAGGATGGGAGCAGCCCGCCGACATGTCCCAAGAAAGAGCAGATACCTACCTCCAGGCCAGGGCTCTGCCACCCACGGGGCACTGACCCCTGGGGAGGGGGAGGGGCGCTGGGCTGCTGCTCCCTGTAGGCAGGACATCCTCAGGACCGGCCGGAAGGCGGCCAGTCTGTCAGGAATGGGAAGCAGGGCCAGCTGGGTCTCCCTGCAGGAGGGGGTTCTCTCAGCCCTTGGGACAGGACAGGCCCAACGTGCCGCCACATCGGAGACCAGGACGCCTGCAAGCCTCCCTCTCCTCCTCCACCGGCTCCTCGCCTTGGGACAGGGCACTGCCTCCAAGGCCAGTCTGGGACAGCGTCTCCTGGGTCTCAGAGGCTGCTGGGGCCCTGGAGACTTGGAAGAGAAGTGCTGCCACCCCTTAGCCACAGAGGAGGAGGCCTGACAGCGCCTGTGGTCAGTGCCATGCCCGGCGGATGTCCCCACAGGCCACCCAAGCCACCAGCAGGCACCCCTCACTGAGGACCCAACCTCAGGCCGGCCACAGCAGCCTGAACTGCATAGTGAGACCCTGTCTCAAAAAAGACAAAACAAATAAATAAATAAAACAAAAAGCCACTAACTCAAAGTTCTTGGACTTAAAATTCCATATGGAACCCCAGCAAAAATGCAAACACAATGACAACAGGCAAACAACTGGAAGAGACATTTCTCCAAAGACAACCAAGAAGCACACAAATGTGCTCAATGCCACTCATCATTGAGGAAACGCAAATGCAAGTCACAGTGAAATGTATTTTACGCCCATTAGGATGGCTACTATCAAAAAACCCTCCAAAAAACAAAAAAATGGAAGACAATGCCTGCAGTCCCACCACCCAGGCTGGAGGCTGAGGCAGGAGGATCGCTGTAAGTTCAAGCCTGGCCTGGGTTACATATGAGACCCTGTCTCAAAAAAAGAAAATAAAAAACAAAACCAGAAGACAAGTCTTGGCGAGCATGGAGGGAGAAGACAGGAGGCTTGTGTATTGCTAGCAGATAAGCAGATCAGTATAGTGATTTTCAAAAAGTGAAAAACAGAATGACCATAGGAACCGGCAATTGCACTCTAGGTTTAGACCCCAAAGAATTGAAAGCAGGGTCTCAAAGACAGCTCTGCAAACTCAGGTTCACAGCATCATTCTTTATCACCAAGGGGGTAAGTGACCCAAGTCCATGAACGGAAGAGTGGATAAACACGGCATCTATCCATACAATGAAATACTACTTACTGGGCCTTAAATAGGAGCTCAGTGGCAGAGTCCTGGCTTAGCACATGCAAGGCCCTGGGTTCAGTCCCCATCACCACACACACATAGAAGAACTTGTCTGAATATTTTGTTGATGGGTCCCCTGCCTCCCTGCATGGGCAGAGGCGATGGACCGCCGGGCACGGGACAGAGGGTGACATTGCTCCAACACCCCACAGGTCCTCTGAGTTCTGACCCCTACTGGCCCATGGGAGTGCTTCTCCCCAGTGAACCCTGAGTAGCAGGGAACCTGTCACGTAAGTGACGGGTGCTGTGCCACTCGGCAGAGCCTCTGTGGGCCCCGGCCCCAGATGACCCATGAGACACCGGGTGGGATCAACATGCCTTTTGGTCACACCGAGATCCAGGTGACCGGGTTCCCACTGGCACATATGTGGGGTGGAGACAACAGGAGACGGGGTCCTGGGTCGGCACACCCATGCAGGCTGCCCTCTCTGCTGAGAAACCCCAGGAAGCGCGCACGGCCCTGGCAGCCATCCGATTCCCCACTTGTTCATGGCTGTCCTACAAAAACGGGAATTCCACTGTTCAACCTCCCTGCAGAGGAGGTGGAGGAAAGACCCAGCGCTGCCTCCTGACCCTGGAGGGGGCATCCGGGCTCTGCCAGACCCGTCTCCAATGCATTACAGAGCCCACAGTTTTCCCACCTGTCCCTACAGGGGTTCAGGTCTCCACGGCGCCCAGGACCGACCTAGAGCTGGGCGTATGTGAGCCCCTGACCCAGGAACCTCAGGAGAGCGCCTTTGAAAATGGACCTTGCCTTCGGGGACCAAGCAAGGCATGAACTTCACCTGAGGCCCTTGAGATACAGCCCCAAAGCACTTTTTAAATTTTATTACAAACTCGTCATAAAAGCCTTCTCCCCCAGCCCAAGTTCCCACACTCTGGACCCCCACGTGGGCAGGGGCTTCCCCTGCACAGAGGACGCTGTGGCTGGCCGCGGCACCGTGGTCCCAGTGGTCAGTCCTCAGGGATTCACTGTGGGGCCCATGGAACCTGGGGCTCTGACCACACGGGCATGGGGCGTGGACCCTTCCCTGGCAAGGCCTGGAGGGGGATGGGAAATGCCAGGGGGTCAATGGGGGTGGGCAGTGCCCAGGTCCATCCCAGCCCCTCCTGCACCTTAAGAGGTAGGGTCAGCTCCGAGGGCGGGACAGGGCAGGCAGTGAGCAGGGCGAGCGCCCAGGGGATGCCTTGTTAGGGCTGAGGGGCAGGGCCTTGTACCCTCTATCCCCTCTGTCCCCCAGGGGACTCTGCCATCCCCAACCATACCAGGCGGGAAGGGCTGGTGGCCGACAGCTTCCGGTGCTGGGCCTCAGAGACTGAGGACCAGAGGTCAAGGCTCCTGGGGGCCGAGCTTTTCTCGGGCTTCGGAGGGACGATGTCCCAGCCCAGCAGACAGTGCTGCGGGGAGCACAGCGTCAGGACTCCTTTCATGGAAGGGCTGCACCACGCTCAGGAAGGAGGGGCCCCCCGAGCAACCCCGGCACCCCCAGACAGGGGCCTGTGTCTAACCACAGCCTGCACACACGGCACCCGAGAGCTCAGTCACGAGGCCACCTGCGGGGGCCAGGGTACAGGTGGGCAGCCATCCCAGAAGCCGCGTCGGATGACACCCTCCACCCGGGGACCAGGTCCAGCACGCGTGAGGGAGAGGCCACTCCAGAGCCCGCTCTATGTCCGTCCTTGGGGTCTCTGTGGCCCTCCCGGGCCTCCAAGTGCATCTGGCCCTGCCCCGTCCCCAACCAGACCCTGAGGCCACTCACCCGGGGCAGGGCCAGTGTGTCGGAAGCGTCGAAGCTCTTGCGGCGGTGGACATGGTACCGGTGGGGGGGATCCAGGACCGACAGCGGGACACTCACCCTGCACAAGGGTGCAGTGAGGCCACGGAACATTTCTGCCCCCCGCCCGTGGCTGCCCCCACCCCATGATTGCCCCCAGGGCGCCCCAGTGTCCCAGCCACCACTCACTGGACCCGCGCAGGCTCTGCCAGGGTCTCAGGGCCCTGCTGGTTCCGCGGGGTCCCACACAAGCGGCAGGGGATGCCAGGGTCTGAGGGCACCAGGAACAGGCGCCGGTTGACACGGTAGGAGTACACGCCTGCAGACACAGACAGCAGCAGGTGCCCTGAGCCGGGGTCCCCGGCTGTCCCCAAGCACATGGGCCCCAACCCCTCTGGGAAGCAAGTCCAGGCCCCAGGTGGGGTGGGGCCAGGGGCTGGCACACAGGGAGGGCCCCATTCCTGCAAAGCCCCCCAACAGTTCAGGGTCCCGCAGAGCCTTAGCACTCACACTCATGGTCCTTCTCCACGTCCCCGCCCTCACATGAGCCTGGGAGGCAGGGCCTGCAGGGACAGAGAGGATGAGCGGGAAGGGCGCTGGGTGCCCGGGCGCTGGGTGCCCGGCCCCCTCGCCTGCCCGGCTCACTCGTGGTGACCGTGGGTGCACTCCTCCCGGTGGGCGTCCCGGAACTCCTGCAGCGTGGAGAAGAAGGCCTCAGGCTTGCTGCTGACGGACGAGCTGCTGTCCAGGGACCCTGGCGTGGGTAAGGGCAGGGCACCAAGTGCTGAAGCCAGGGGCTGGGGGCCCTGGCCGACACTTAGGGCGCAGGCAGCCCCAGCTCCCGCTCACGGCACTCCACACAGACCAGCAGGGGAGCGGCCACCGCTGTGACCTGCTGAGCCATCTGTCCACCCTGCCACACTCGCTCACCCATGGCAGAGGGCTGAGCCCCCAGCACGGACTGGCTTTACTTGTGCGAGAAGCACAGGGAGCTAAAGCCCCCGCCCCAGGAGGCTCCCATCCGAAGGTGATGTCGGGTGAACTGTCACCAGGGAAATCCGTGAGACAATATTGATCAGATACCCACCAGGCCACAAGAGAGTGGGGCTGGGTAGATGCTGGTGGCAGGTCTACAGGGCCAGGGGAGGTGACAGCCAAGCAGAAACATGATGAACCCATGTGCTAGCCCAGGAAGGGCGCTAAGGTGGGTAAGAAAGCAGGTGCAAAGGCCCTGGGGCAAGAGCATGCTTGGTGAAGGGGTAAGGTAGATGGGATGGGGTTAGGAACCCCACCAAGGGTTTGGGGACAAGGAGTGACACAATCAGGTCAGCCACGAATGTCTACAGCATTCCTCCTCCTCTGACTGCTACTAGGTGAGAGGAAGCAGAGGCACCGAGCAGGACATGACAGGCATCCACGCGAGAAGCGGCAGTGGGGTCCAGAAAGGTACTGAAGGATGTGTGACAGAAGGCGCTGACACCTGGGGGTAAGCGGGGGGGAAAGCCAGCATGGTGGGGCATGTGCCTGTAATCCCAGCACTTGGGAGGCTGAGGCAGGAGAATCATCATGAGTTGGAGGCCAGCCTGGGTTATGTAGTGAGTTCAAGGCCAGCCTGAACTGCATAGTGAGACCCTGTCTCAAAAAAAAACATATAAATCTGGGGCTGGGGATATAGCTCAGCGGCATAAGCACCTGCCTGGAAAGCACAACGCCTGAGTTCGAGTCCTGGTACCAAAAAAAAAAACCATATAAATCAATACGGAAGGGAAAGGAGGGCACAGCGCACGCACACAAGGCGGGTGTGGGCAGGCACCTCTGTCTTTCTGGAGGCAGGAAGCGGGGCAACGAGGCTCTGGGAAGTCCCCAGGGGCAGGGCTGCGTCCCCACCACAGGGCTACTGCACCCCTACAGAACACTGATCCCTGGGCAGGGCCTTAACCTCTTGTGCCTCCGTCTCGGCCTCTGTAGAATGGGGACCCAGATGGTACCAAGTACATAGTTCACTTATTCACTCGACAACTGCTTGCTGAGCCTCAGGGCTGGAGAGCAGGGCCAAGACAAGAGGGCCAGGTCTCTGCTCTGAGGTCGCCGCTCTTCCAGAGGAGGAGGAGGAGAAGCGAGCAGTTCTCAGGATGTCTGCCCGGAAGGCGGTTTCTGAGAATGCTATGAAGAATCCTGGCTGAGGTCACAGGCAGCGGCGTGGGGTGTGGCCCAGTGACACTGTGCCTGGAGAGGACCTGGTTTGGAGCTTTGCATGATGACAGGAATCCAACGGGAGTGAGCTGGGGAAGCACATGCCAGACAGCAGGCACAGCAAGTGCAAAAGTCCTGGGGTGGCCATGTGCATGGCAGGCGCAAGGATCAGCAAGCCAGTGAGGCCGGAACAGAACAGGGCAGCAGGTACCCTGAGGTCAGGACGTAGGGACAGCAGAAGCCAGATCTTGCCTTGAGTCTGGACAGGATGTTAGGTTTTTCAGTAAGTGCCAGGGAAACCTCTGGGGAGACCAGCAAGGGAGTGACCTGATCTGATGGCACGTTTAAAAACTCCTTCACAGCCGGGGGTGGTGGCACCTGCCTGTCATCTCAGCACTCAGTAGGCTGAGGCAGGAAGATCACCACAAGTTGGAGACCAGCCTGGGCTACATAGAGAGACCCTGTCTCAAACAAATAAATACTCATTAAGGCCATTGGGTGGAAAGTGTGTAATGCACACCCATGTTCAAACAAATACTCATTAAGGCCATTGGGTGGAAAGTGTGTAATGCACACCCATGTTCAGAGCAGCATGAGTCACCTAGACCAAGTCAGAAAGGTGCCAAGTGAAAGAAAAAGGGAATGCTCTACATTTCCACCCACCAACTGGTGAGTGAATGAAACAATCCCATCAGGCTCACGGCAAAGGAAACCCCGCAGGGACTACGACACGGAAGCGCCTGGGGATCCCACACTAGTGATGACAGTCAGGAAAAGACAGCTCTGTGTGAGCCCACTTCTCAGCGCTGCCTTGAGGGCAAAGGACAGCGGAGGTCCTCCTGGTGCTGGGCAGCTGCCACTTGAAGGGCACAAGGCTTTAGTTCTGCAAGATGAGAAAGTTCTGGAAGGGGCAGAGGGATGGCAGCGCAACAGCATGGCCTGCTTTTTGTTTTTTTTTTGAGACACAGTCTCACTGTGTAGCCCAGGCCAGCCTCAAACTCACAGCAATCCTCCTGCCTCAGCCTCCCGAGTGCAGGGATTATAGGCGGGAACCACCACACCCAGCTGTATCATGCTTAATGCTACCTCGCTGTGCTTCTAAATAGGGTGAAAATGGTGAATTCTAGGTTGTGTCTATTTTATCTTGAAACTTTCTTCAGTACTGGGAGTTGAATTCAGGATCGCACACATGCCAGGAAAACAGCTGCACTGTTGAGCTACATCCTCATTCCTTGTTATGATCCATGCACGTGCACAGATGTGCATAGATAGATAGATAGATGGTTTTGAGACAAGATCTCACTATGTATTTCTTTTTTTTTTTTTTTTGCGGTACCGGGGATCGAACTCAGGACCTTGCACTTACCAGGCAGGCGCTTATGCCACTGAGCTATATCCTCAGCCCATCACTATGTATTTCAGGAGCTGGGCTTGTATTCACTACGGAGCCCTGGCTGGCCTTGAACTAATGGCGCTCCTCCTGCTTCAGCCTCCAGAGTGCTGGGATTATAGGTATACACCACTACGCCTGCCTATTGGCTACTGTGTATATTCTGACACACACACAAAACAGATACAAAGGAGGCAAAAGGTGCCCAGGGAGATCAGCCAGGAGGCCACCGAGGCTGCTGGGGGGAGCGGGGCTAGCAAATCAAATGAAAAGAGCTGGTCCCCGCCCAGACTCGTGGGAAGGCTGGCACGAACGGACTGCCCCAAAACACAGCAGCTCTGACGCATTCACTTTCTGTGCCGAGGCTGAGCCAGCCCAGGGCATCACCTCCATCTCCCAGGCAGGGTGCCGATGGGCGCAGTCTCACCTGCGATCCAGTCGTAGCCCAGGTACGGCCGGAGGCGCCAGCTGCTCTCGGGCACTGTGAACTCCTCGAAGGTCACTCTGGGCTGAGGAGGGAGGCCCAAGGGCTGGGTCTTTTCTTTTGTCGCAGTACCGGGGTTGGTTCCCTGGGCCTCTGCACTGAGCTATATTCCCCGCCCTTTTTATTTTGAGACAAAGTCTCCCTAAATTGCCCAGGCTAGGCTTGAATTTGTGATCCTCCTGCCTCAGCCTTCTACAGTGCTGGGACTGCGGCTATGCTCCATCACACCTGGCACCACACCCAGCTAGGGGGCTGGGTCTTAAAGCACACCCTGATTTACAGCCTGGGGTGTTTGGTCCCATTTCATTTGTTGGTTTTTTGTCTTTTCGAGACAGGGTCTCGCTGTGCAGTTCAGGCTGGCCTTGAGCTCACTTTGTAGCCCAGGCTGGTCTCGAACTCGCAAGGATCCTCCTGCCTCAGCCTCCCAGAGTGCTGGGATTACAGGAGTGCGCCACCACGCCCGGCTGTCCCATTTGATTTGTGGCTTTGAACAAGTCTGTTCCCTGAGCCTCAGCCTTCCCATCTGTACAATGAGCTCAGAGTTTGTCGCCTTCTTCCCAAACAGCTGTCTGAAAAACTAACAGCCATCACTCTCTCAAGCACTAGGCCTCACCCAACGCAAGTCACCGCAGCTCCCGGCAGCCTCTCATCCCACACGGGGGCTGCCCCTGAGCACATCCGTCAGCCAGGGAAACTGAGGCTTTGAGGAGCCCTATCTGCGGGTGCCCAGCTCGCCCACGTTACCTTGCATTTCCTGCTCTGCTGGGCCAGGATGGACTTCGGGGCCTGGGCCTGCTGTGGCTCTGGTTGACTTGCAGAGGGCTCCTCCAGGTCACAGGTCACCAGCAAGGGTGTTGAGCAAGGTCTCGGAGGGCACGGGGCCTCTGGGCGTTGGAACTTGGCAGGATGCAGAGACGACACCCCGGAGCCGGCCGTGCCGAGCCAGGCTGTATCACAGGGGTCACCTGGGTGCGTGTCTGGGGGCTCCCACGCGCGGCACTCATCATCCTGTGAGCATGAGGCACTTGAGGAGGCTGTCGATGTTTCTGAGGACAACGGCGTCTCTGAGTCATAGCTGCTGCTGCTACTGGAGTCCACGCTTGACTGGAGAAGAAGGTCCAGGTCACCCAAGGGTGCCAGCCAGAGCCGACCCACCAGGCTTTGGTCCCGTGCCACTGTGGCCTCACAGCGTCCCAGCCCAGTCCCCTCCCTCCCAAGGACTCAGTTTTGCGTCCTCAGTAAAATGGGCAGGTGGGTCAGGATGATCCCACCAGCTCAGGCACCGTCCTGAGGGTTAGGCAGCCCCCTGCTCTCCCTGGGAACCCACCTCAGAAGCTGCCTGGGCCACCAACCGCCGCACAGCAGCCTGCCCGGCCTGCAGCTGCCTCAGAAGCCCCAGGTTGCGCAGCCGGAGCTGCATGAGGTCTTCAGTCTCCACCATCCTGGGCGACTCTGCCTGACGTCAAAACAGTGTGACATGGGGCTGAGGAAGCATGGATCCAACAACGCCCCTGCTCCTTAACTGTGACGTCTCGGGGAAGTTCCTCAGCCTCCCTGTGCCTCGTTCCTCAGCTGCTAACACACAATAGTACTGACCTCACCAAGCTTTCCTTGGGGACACACAGCACAATGCTCAGCGACAGTTACACAGCAGACAATAAATGTCTACGCCTCCTTTTTCTTCATTGGTTGAAACAGGGTCTTGCTTTGTAGTTCAAGCTGGCCTCGAACTCACTATGTAGCCCAGGCTGGCCTCAGACTCACTGCGCTCACTCCTCCTGCCTCAGCCTCCCAAAGGCTGGGATTACAGGGGTGAGCCACCACTCCCAGCTAAACATCTATTGCTTCTAAAAGGACCAGGTTGTGCTTCCCTACGGCTAAAACAGCCAGATTCCCCCACCACAGCCTTGTCTGGGAAATTAGCTTAGTTTAATTGGCAGAAAGAAAATAGTCGAAGTCTGCAAATACAAAGCTTCATTTTTTTTTTTTTTTCCAAACACAAGGCCTATAACTTGTGAATCCAAGCCAGGCTTCTGAAGGGCTTCCCCTGCTCTTTTCTGGACACACACGCTTTTGTTTTGGTTTGGTTTCTTGATGAATGGTGTGTGCTCTGCCGCTAAGCCACACTTCCAAGCCCAGTCCCCCTTTTTTTTTTTAACACATGAAGCGCAAAGCTCAGAGAGGTTAAGCAGTGTCCCCTGAGTTACACAGCTACTCAGAGGCAAAGCCAGGATTGGAACCAAAATTTGGATTCAGGGTGCAGGGTCAGAAGTACCTTCCATAGCAGGGTGGACAGGGGACTGGAAAATAACCACCTCCTCCTCCTCCTCCTGCAAGCCCTTTGTGCGAAGGGGCCCGGCTCTTGGGCACACTCGCCTCTGGAAGCGATTTCGGCAAACATCGGCCATCCCGCCCTGCCAGAGCCCTCACACCCCACCTCACCTGGCGACAGCCACCCGGGCCCCTCCCTCAGCCGCCGCAGCACAGCAGCGGCCTGCACCGAGCCCCGGAACGCGCCCGCGGGCTGCAGGGTGCAGAGCGCGAGGTGCGGGAACGGAGGCGTGCGCTCCCAGGAGTCGAGAGGTGCAGACCTGAGGGACAAACACCCGAACCGGGCCCGAGTCGCCCTTCCCCTGGTCGGGTGCTGCTGGGCCACGCCGCAGCAGCCCGAGGTCTCTGTTTCCGCTGCTGGACTCCGGCCGTCCCTAGGAGGCCGAAAACGCAGAGAAGCCAAATGAAGGGGTTGGAGCAGTAACGGAGCCAGGGTGCGGGGCACCGAGACGCGAGCCGGGACCCGGAGGCGGCCGCCTCGCATCCCATCGCGGCCCCAAGCCACCCACCGCGGAGACACACAGCGGTGCCCCTGCGACCGCTCCCTCGGCCGCCGCAGCCGCGCTCACCTGGCCACAGACCCCGAGCACCGCAGGCTGCCGCAGGTTCCCCCTTGTCCCTCCGGCTCTGCGCAGGCACCGGCTGGGGGGGCGGGGCCTCCGATAGCTATTCTGATTGGTCAGGGGAGGGGCGGGACCCTGACACCCCGTCAGCGTTCCTCTGCGTCCCACAGCAGCAGTTTCAATCTGAGGGCGGGGCTAACGAAGGTCTCACAGTCAATTGGTCAATTTATGTGCGGGAGGACTGGGGCAGAACCCGGAAGCGGAGCTCCGATTGGTCAGAAGTGGGGCTGGCCCATGATACGTTAAGCAGCGGCAGTTTGAGCGTCTGCAAGTGGAAGGAGGAAGTGGGTAAAATAACAATGTAGAGATACGGTCAGTAAATTGTAAACAAACTTAAATTGAATGCCAACTATATGCCAGGTATTTGAGCCAGGTCTTTTCCATAAGCCAATGCATTCTGGCCTCATAAATATGTGTGGTTATTTTTGTCCCATTTTATAGAGAAAAAATAAAACTTAATGAGACTGTGAGATGAAGGAATGTTTGAGAACAGTTTCAAATAAGTGTATTTCACTATAGTAACAAGGTGTGGGTGGATAGTCACTAAATGGATAAATAAAACTCAATAAATGCAGGAAAATCCACAGGCATTGTTCTTTTTTCTTAGTAGTTGGGAATGGAAGCACCACAACTCTCTTTAAACACAAAGAGGTGTTCTAGTATTTGACAGAATCTAGCATCCATTTCTGATTTTAAAAAAAGAGAACTTCCAACATCCAGGGAGAGTGGTATGCACCTGTAATCCGAGCTACAGTACTTAGGAAGCTGAGACAGGAAGATCCTGAATTGGAAGCCATCCTGGGCAATTTAGCAACAACTTATCTCAAAATAAAAACTAAAAAGTCTGGGGAGGGGATGTAACTCAGCTCTAGAGTGCTGGCCTACCGTGCAAGAGGCCCTTCATTCACCCCCGTTCCACAAATAAATTAAGGGCAGGAGATATAGCTCAGTGCATAAGCACCTGCCTGACAAGTGCAAGGTTCTGAGTTCGATTCCCAGTATCAAACACACACACACACACACACACACACACACAAATAAATTAAAAACAAAAACTTGCAACAAACCAAAACTGGAAGGGAACTTCGTTGTCCTGATAAAAAGGCATCCATGAAACACCTAAAGTTAGCAGCATTTCCCATAATAAAATCCTGAATGCTTTCCTAAAATCAGGAACAGGCAAGGATATCTGCTTTCCACACTTCAACTGGCGTCTTAGCCAGTGTAATAGGGAAAGAAAAAGAAAGAAAAGGCATTTAGATTGGAAAGGAGGAAGGAAAACTGTTTTCATCTAGATGTGACACAGAAAATCCATAGAATTTACAAAAAAGCTACAGTACTAGAATTGTTAATGCATTTTAAAAGGTTTCAGGGTGCAAGACAGTATATGGAAATAAAATGGTTTGTTTTTTTTTTTTTTGGTACCGGAAATCGAACCCAGGACCTTGTGCTTGCCAGGCAGGCACTGTGCCACTGAGCTATCTCCCCAGCCCTAAAATGTATTTCTAATTGAAAAATTTATAATGTCATTTAGAAAGGCATCAAGAAATATGGAAATTAAATATTTAGGGAAGAATCTCACAAAAGATGCACAAGACCTACCATTAAAAATTATCAAAGTTTTGAAAGACATTAAAGGGTTTTTATTTTTTTGTTTTTTGAGACAATATCTCACTGTGTAGTCTAGGCTGTCCTTGAACTCACTATATTGCCCATATGTGGCCTTGAACTCGTGTTGATCCTCCTGCCTCAGCCTCTGAGTGCTGTGATTACAGGTGTGCACTACCATGCCCAGTTTAGTTTCCTTGTTTTCGTTGTAAAGGTCTTAGTTGTTGTTGTTGATGTTTTGAGACAGGCTCTCTCTGTGTAGTTTGTTTGTTTGGTACCAGGAATCAAACAGGATATTGTGCTTGCCAGGCAGGCTC